CTTGCAGCTGAGTAACTCTCGACAACAACAGGCTACATTTGAGAAAAATGACTGAAAAGATTTTACCTATTTCTGCCGTTGCCATATTGGGATCGTCGTAATTATAGTTACGATTATCAGTTTAACACCAGTGTTGGTGCAACTTATCAACGCATTTTGTAGGAGACACACGACGGGTGCAACATATGGAGCAGGGTCTGCTATTTACCCTTCCGGCGCACCTGCCTGAGATCACCTTAAGTTTTCGGTTTGGTTCGATCGTGTAACTCAGTCATTAGTTTTCTATGTTGTGTTTTGTGTACTGTTGTTTAATTTCTGTTCAACTTGGTCTTTCCTTTTTACATCGGATGACCGTGAGGGCATTCCGGCATCGGATGACCGTGAGGGCATTCCGGTGTATTGCTTTCGCCTAGATTTCCATTACGTAACTTTCGTGTTGGGATTGTAACCGATCTATTAACATGATAAATACGCGGACATTATCGAGTGCAAAATAACATTCCTTATCGCTTGTTATAAATTCATTTTTTCAATGGATACTCCTAAAAATATTTTTTTAGAACATAAATTAATAATAGGAAAATGTTCTGTCGTTAAAAATATATATATAAGTAAAAAATCTTTAATATCTATGGACACGTACAGAAAAAGTGTGTTAACGCATGCGGAAGAATATCTAAAGAACGTTTGCAATCTCCCATGGAGAGTTATCGGTCCTTGCTCTCTCTCAGGGACCGATAACTCTGCATGGGACACTGAACGTTTTGCGGGAAAATTTGAATGCCTACTCAAATCTAATCTATTAGAAAAATCGAATTATTACAGAAGAGTGTCCACCATGCACTTGCACTGCACTATTATTAATATAGTAGAATAGAATGATATACAAATGGATGAAATTATATACATGTAACTGTAATATATACAAATATTAATATAATTATATAACAACAAACAATCACTACAATATAATAGTTATTACGATGAGGTGGAATTCCCTGTCATTTATTTATCATCCACGCACGAACTTGTCTCAGAAAAAAAAATATATCTGTACTTTAACCTCACTTTCAGGTACAGAGATGTGATTTTTTTTTCTGAGACAAGTGCTTGTGACCATCCACAAGAACTTGCGGCCATCCCGGATGCTCATTACTTCAGTACTTTGATTTAGCCATGGCGTTGTCAGTTTATTTTTGCATTTTGAGTTTGGATGTCCATTTGGTATCTCTCGCATCTCTTTTACCACGGATTTGTTCCGTTTGTCGTATTCACAATTCATCCCCATAGGCACTTGTCTCTGAAAATAAGATGATATATACCTTATAAATGATATAACATGAATATGATATAATTTTTTTTCAGAAACAAGTGTCAGAGTTCAACCCGCTTGTTCTCATTTATGGCATATGACCGAAAGCACATGGTTTTAACTCAGCATGCATGAGAACCTGCGTGGTGTCATCAGTTTACCTTCCTGAACACACAAGTTTATTACCTGATTTTGGTGGGGTTCGTGCTGCGCAATCTTCGCCTTTTTGTGTCGTGTTTTGTGAATTTTATTTAGTCGACAATTGTGCTTTCCGATTTTCTTCGATTTTCGAAAATTTAGTTGTTTTTCAAATATTAAAGTATAAAATAAAATGGAAATGGAAATGTTTATCAAATATTTACGTATAAGATAAAATTGAGAATGGAAATGTTTATCAAATATTTACGTATCCATTTATTATAACCTTGTGTGACACGAAAAGGATGATGATTACATTGACAAAATATAAGGTAAGTTCCAATGTCTCTATAAATGAGGGTCTGGATGGGTTTTTTTTTATTTCTTTATTTTAAAAAGTTTAGAAATTGTTTTTGTATTCTTTTTTTATTTTACCAATTATTCTCTTCTCTTTATATGTCAGCACTTCATTATTCTCTTTTCTTTTCTTTTTCATTTTTGATTATTTTGCTCTATTCTTCATATTTTAAACCACTTATTCTGCACTTTATGTCCATTATTAAGAGAGCCTCGTAATTACGGAAACCATAAAACATACAACACTTAATATAATTTCTACTTTAACATTGTTATGTAGATGTTTGGCACTTAATATATATATAAACATGTACAGCGTTATACAGAAGTTATTCCTAACGAAGGTCGGTGGTTCTTCTCCTTGGACTCCGACTTTCTCTACCAATTAAAAGTAAGAGATAGCACAATACTTTTGAAAGTGACGTTAAACAACAATCAATCAATCAATTAATCAATCAATCAATGACACTGAAGTCAATATAAAAACTAAGATTTGCCATTATTTCTTTTATACAGACCTTCAGATTAGGATAATCAGAAAACTAGTTGAACCCAACTCATGTTGTAACAAATGTTGTTTTCTATGTATCCCCTATATCTTGTTCATAACCTTTATTGTCGTAGGTTGCGTAGCTTTTGTTTTAGTCTTTGCGTTTGTTGTGTATATGTTGATATACGTTGTGTAGAATTAAGAATGGGAACGGGGAATGTGTCAACGAAACAACAACCCGACAAAGAGCAGAAAAACAGCCCAAGGCCACCAATGTGCCTTCAAAACAGCGAGAAAATCCCGCACACGGAGGCGGGATTCAGCTGCATGGACCCTAAAAAATAATTTATACTAGTTCAGCAAATATGGACATCACACTAAACTAAAAAACATATAAATGAACTAAAATTTAAAAGAATTAACATACAAGACTAACAAATGCCATATGTTCCTGACTAGGGACCGGCGCAAGAATGTGACTGGGACATGTTTTGCGAGATCTCAATCCCACCCTATACCTCTTGTTAATGTGAAATAAACCATTATACAGCACTGCGAACAGTAAAACTCAGTTAAAAAAAGTCCGAGTCCGATGTCAGATAAGGTAACTAAACAAAATGACAATGATGAACATATATTAACAAACGATTACTATCAGTAACTGACATGCCAGCTCCAGACCTCAATTAAACTGATCAGTGAAAGATTATGAAACGTGATTTTGGTTGGCATTGTATACATTATGTGGGTGCATGTATGTTGTGTAGCTTCAGCTATTGTGTTTGTGGTTTGCTGTGTATAAATTATGTGGGTGTTTGTTGTGTGGCTTCTTTTTTGTGTCTAGCTGTGTTTGTTGTGCATATGTTGGTATATTTTGTGTAGCTTCTATAAGTGTTTGTGTTTGTTATGTATATGTTGTGTGGCTTATTCTTTTGTGTTTGTGGTTTTCTGTGTAAAAATACTGTGGGTGCATTTTGAGTGACTTCTTCTTTTGTGTCTGCATGTGGTTTTCTGTGTATATGTAAATTGATGGTATATGTTGTGTTGGAATAAATATCACTGTTGTTAGGTGCAGTTTGGAGTTTACTCTTTTGTTCGCAACCGTCATTCCACTGTTCCGCATTAGGTTGGATCATTGAGTCAAAGTATCGATTAAAGCCTGTACCAAGTCAGAAATATGACAGTTGTTATCCATTCGTTTGATGTGTTTGAGCTTTTGATTTTGCCATTTGATTAGGGACGTTCCTTTTGAATTTTCCTGGGAGTTTAGTATTTTTGTGATTTTACTTTTACAAAAAAGTTTCGAGAAAATTTGGGATATTTATCCCAAATTTAACAAGATTCCCAAATATATGATATCCTTAGCCAAAAACAAATTAATTTTCAATCTAAAGAAAACTATATGTATTTTTTTCATGCAGATTCAAATTAATTCATTTTGGTGACGTACTTTTCCATGTGTCTACTATTCTGTTTGTGAAAAAGTGTTTATGCACATCTAATTTGCATCTTTGTTTGTTAATTTTAAATGTATGTCCTATAGTTGTACTGTTGTTTAAAGTAAACAAATCGGTAGTTGCTTCACTATCGTATATTTCAGCCAGTATTTTGAATGCTTCTATCATGTCCCCACGCATTCGTCTAAACTTTAGTGTTGTCAATTTCAGTATTTGTAGTCGTTCTATATAACTTTTGTCATTTAAGTATGGTAGCATCTTATTCGCTCGTCTCTGAACATTTTCTAATGATTCAATGTATTTTACTTTATATGGATTCCATACACTATTTGCATATTCTAAGTGTGGTCTTACCAGCGCCTTAAATAACAGTGGCAGTTCAAGTTAGTGGTTTTTTTTTTCAAGTTTGCTGTTTTTGTTATGTTTTTTTTGGGGGGGGGGGGGGGGGGGGGGTGTTCCTGAAAACCTTATTTTATATTTTCTCGTTGTTGTTGTTGTTGTTTTTGGTTATAATTGATTGTTTTAATTTTAACTACATGATATAGGCAGGAAATCCTATAAAGTTAAAGTTCAGGCAATTTCTGTTGGATAAAAGTCTCCTGGGAAAGCACCTTACTTCGTTACTTATATTTGTAACTACGATTATCTTAGCTGTATAATTGGCAAATCCTTTTTTGAATTTGGGTTATCAATGCTCTTCAATTTCGTACTTTATTTTAGCTTTTTTACATTTTTTATTCAAGCGTTACTGTATCAGTGATAAGTCTTTTGTGGACAAAACGCGCCGGCGTTTCCGGTCTCATTGAAGCTCGAATAAAAAATTCCAAATAAAGTAAAAAGTTTGAGAGTATTGAGGATTTGCCAAATACATCTTTTTCTAGGGAAGAAAATCCCTGGTTTTCGAAATCGGATTCAAAATTTTGTAAACAGTTAAATATTTATATATTACGGCTAATTAGTGTAACATATCAGAAGATGAAAAATATCTTTAATGTGGTGATAATTCATTTTCAACACAGAAGTGATAAATTGACAAAAAATAAGACAAGCGTTTACAAAATCGTTCAAAATAGTTATAATGTCAAGTATAAGAAAAGGAACCAATCTTTGAAATTGAACAGTTTACATGTTCATTGGGATATTCAGTCCAATTGTTTCTAAAAGTACTTTCAGTTCTTTGAAAAAGACGTATGAAAGATTAACTCCCTTTGAATCATTCGGTGTTTTCCGTCACTTTCCGGTTTAATTCGTTAGTAAACATGGACGTCTGAAAATGATGCGATTTTTAATGCAGCAATATTTTATTTACTAAGCGAAAACAAAACCTGTAAGATCACTTAGACCCTATATAACTCTCATTCAAAACTAGAAAAATAGACCAAAAATGTTTTCTTCTGTTTAAAACACCATAAAACAGACGATTCGTCATCTGTTTATTTGTGTAAGTTTTTGACACGTCTCTGCACCAAAAAATTATTTGATATAGCTTACCCGAATATAGCTGCGTAACCGTAGCTCTACGGCACCGCGGCTGATCAGACTTAATCTGGTTATATTTATATTCATATCGGCAACACTGTTAGTCATATTGAGTAGGCATTTCTTTATAAGAAAAAACACCCAACACTTTGATATACCCAAGTCGGGCAAAGAACTTGTGTGTGTGCACTTTCTTAGCAAAGTCACTGGTAGATCTATTTTGACAAAATATTCAAGATCTAGAAATAACATACCTACCTACCTAAGTCTACCTAAGTGTTTCCAAACGCAGGAGATCAGTTTGCTCCTCTATCAGTCAGGGATATAACCCTATAGGGTTATTACAGAAAAATAACATACATTTGTTATTGTGGACTAAAAAATCAAAGAACTGTGATAACATATGTATGTTACATGTTTCAAAGGGACAATATACATCATTAGTTTAGTTAAAATGTATACAAGTTCTATTGATATTACTATTGTCTTTATGTATACTTAACTATAGAAAGATATAACAGTTCATAGTTTGCCAATCTTGCATAGTACACCTATGTTATTACAGAAAAAGTATGCCTGGAATAACTAAAGAGTGTTATCACAGCTTCTCTATATCACTCCAAAGCATTTGCTCAGACTTAAATCATGCTTAATTACAATGTATTTTAATTTATTGTAAGAAACAATGACCAGAGCATGTAATGAGGTTCTGTGCAAGCTTCCAAATAATTCCCAAGTGTCTCATATCATAAGTTATATCCTTTAATAACTAAGCCTTGTTATTACAGCTTAGTTTATCCCTTAAAAACCTCGTCTCATTGATTTACCATGGTTAATCAAAAATGTATTAATTTAATTAAAAAATTAGTTATCAAGGCTATGCATTTAGTTTCTGCGCAAAGTCTCTAGAGTTCCCTAGAGCCCACTATAAATTAAAATATTTTTGATTTATTTTACAAATAACAAACATATGTTATTACAGATTTAGAAAATTTAAGGAATAAAGAGTAGACAACTCCTGAAAGTATCTGTAATAACACACACAAGTTATTTTCTGTAATAACCCTATAGAGTTATATCTCTGACTGTCTATCATGTCTATATTTGGCTCTGATTCATCATCACTAACTACACTTGTGCTACTTCTGGCAGAACTTGAAAGTTCTGGTGTTATAGGTGTATTCAGTGTCAAAGTTATATATCATTGGGTGTTCTTTCCAATGCTTGTCTAGACGATTTCCAAAACTCTACATTCTTTGCTGTCACTACGATGTCTGGTAGGCTATTCCATACTTCCACTACTCTGTTAGTGAAGTAGTATTTTCTTATGTCTAGTCTGCTTCTGTTTTTTTACCAATTTCATCGAGTTGCCTCTTGTTGTCCAGCTTGTGTTATGAGTGAATAAACCTTCTGTTACTTTTAAGTCATATACCCCTGTTGTTATCTTGTAGGTTTCTATCATGTCCCCTCTTAGCCTTCTAAATTTTAAAGTAGGAATTTTCAGAATTTTTAATCTTTCTTCGTATGACATATCTTTGAGGTTGGGTAACATTTTTGTTGCTCTACGTTGGACGTTTTCAATTGTCTCGATATCTTTCTTTTTGTACGGGTTCCATACACTACTAGCATATTCAAGATGAGGACGGGCTAATGCTTTAAATACATGTAGTAGGCAGAAGCTTTTATAATCTAAATATTTAAAAGTTCTTCTAATAATTCCAACTAGTTGGTTTGCTTTGTTGACTTGTGTCTGTATATGTTTATCAAATTTTAGCTTTGAATCCATAGTTACTCCTACATCTTTCTCTGATTGAACTGTTTCTAGTGTGATTTCAGATCCATCGACATTTTATACGTGCTATCTTGCCCATAATTGGATTTTGTAGAAATTGGAAGTACTTTACATTTGTCCGGATGGAAATGTTATAGCCATTTTTCACTCCATTTGAACATACTATTTATGTCATTTTGCATTATGGTGTTGTCAATTTCGTTGTTTATAGCTCTATATAATTTAGTGTCATCTGCAAACATGTATACGTCAGACTCTGCACATGACGGCAAATCGTTAATAAAGATAACAAACAGGATTGGTTCCAAAACTGATCCTTGTGGAATACCACTAGTGACATCATGCCATTTTGAAAAAATTCCATTAATTTGTACTCTTTGTTGGCGGTTGCTCAGAATACTTGATCCAATTACATGTTTGTAAGCTCATGCCATATGATCTAAGTTTGTTAATAAGTCGTCTATACGGGACTTTGTCAAACGCCTTCATAAAATCAGTATAAACTGCTTCAATTGATCCACCACTATCTAAAATGCTGGTCCAGTGATCTAAGACTTTTAATAATTGTAATGAGGTTGATCTTCCTCCAATAAAACCAAATTGTCTATCACTATAAAAGGTTATATCAGGGCTCACGCTACCAGGCAACTAGGGAAAGATGTCGCTTTCCCGTCCGTCACTTCGCTTTGCCCGACCCTCAAAAGCGAAAACAAGTCGCCCTGTGGTTTACCATACTCGCTTTCAGTAGCTTTCGTCATCGGCAATATTCATTTTTTACCAAGACGATGAAACAGAAATTTTTCATTTAAAAGTAAAGAAATTCAAGGCATAAACAATTTATTTTCTTCAGAAAAGAGGTTCAAGCATTGATTTCAAAGTTGGTGGCATTTAATTTCATAAAAACAATTTTTTGTGACTTCCGGTACTTGTTACTCGGAGAGCGTACATCAAATCATTCTAACTTTCGGCAAAATAAGTTGTTACTTCATTAGAACTTGATGAAATTTGTCTGAAGTAAATTTGTTATCCTTGTATTGCATTAAAAACGTCATATTCCTTTCCAAATAGCGTGTCAAACATCATTTATTTTTTGTAAATTTTTCTTCATCCGCCATTTAAATTATTGGGCATATTATTGTACAACTACGAATCGGAGTTGAGATTTCATCGGAAACGGACCTGCTATGACCGAAATGCGGATTTTTACGATATTGACTACGGATGCATGAATGGCACTGCTGACAGAAAAAAATTGGTCCCAAAAGAAAAAATTATGCATTCCACACGCATTAACATACTTTTGGTTAGATCTTCTTGATTAATGTATATATTTCCATGTATATGCATTGTTTCAATTTACAAGTTAAAGTTGCTCAACTCTGGGACTATTACACTAGTATAATTATATTATGTCCAAGCTTAACTGTTAAATTTATATATCTTTTTAATGAGAAATACTCAGTTTAATGAATATGATAACAGAGTAGTTTTTTAATTGATATAACAACTTTCTTTTCCTTTTTGATATGTATAAAAAAAAATCTTTTTTATTGAAGTGCCAGATATTTAATTGTTTTTTTTTATCTGAAAAGAGGACTCATATGATTGTGCAACTAGATATGATAAAATTAAACAACTTTAAATTTGAACAGTTACTTTAATTGTATACTCAGGTACAAATTGAACAATATAGAAAAATAAGATACATATGGCCCTTAATGTATTACGGTATAGTAAAAACCAAACATTGTAGCGCCGCAGGCGAACAAGCACTTCTCTTTCAAATCTCACCACTTCTCCCTCTCAATTTCAAAAAGAGAAGTCACTTCTCTCTATGATTCTGAAGTAGTGTGAGCCCTGTATATCTGTTCATATGGTCTTCGATTTTCTTTCTTATAAATTTCTCCATCAGTTTGCATGTGATACTAGTCAGGCTTACGGGTCTGTAATTTGAAGCTAGTTTTTTGTCACCTTTCTTAAAGAGAGCTGTAATTTGGCCAATTTTCCAATCTTTCGGTACTGTACCTGTTTTAAATGAGCTGTTGAAAATCATGCATAGTGGGGCATCTATTATATCAGCTAGTTCAAATAATACTTTTGGATGTACCTGGTCTGGTCCTGGTGACTTTGAAGTATTTTAACTTTTCAGTAGTTTGTTGATTTCTTTAGTTTTAAAGTTATCATTGCTAGATTCTTCAATATAAGGAATATTTTCAATAAATGTATCATCATTATCGTCTTCTACAGTAAAAATACTAGTGAAAAATTCAGCCAATACCTCATCAGCCTTTTCTGTATCTGTACTTGCAATAAAGTTATGACCATCTCTTTTAACATGAAGTTCTGATACACCACTTTTAGATTTTCGCTTTGCATTAACACAAGACCAAAAGTTTTTACAGTTTGTTTTCGCAGACTCTGCTATAGACTTCTCCCGATTTTTTCTTTCTTTAGTAACTGTTGCTTTTGCTTTATTTCGAGCTTTAGTGTACCCCCTGTAGCTTTCGTTATCTCTTGTTATTTCTATATTTTTCCCATGCTCAATGTTTTTTCCTGATTGATAATCTAGCCTCAGCACTAAGAGGTGCTTTAAATTTCTTCTTTGATATATGTTTTTATGCCCCCACCGTAGTGGAGGGGGCATTAAGTTTTACCCTTGTACGTACTTACGTACGTATGTCCGTACGTCCCAAAATTGGTTTCCGTTCTCTAACTTGAGTTTGCCTCAACCAAATGCTATGAAACTTATACACAATGCTTATTACCACAAAACACAGATCAAGTTTGAATTTTGGTGGCGTCACTTTAACCGTTCTAGAGTAATGCCCCTTTAAATCACACATATGATGATTAAGTTTTGAATTTCAACAATTTAAACAAATCACACTTTTTCAAACAGCATGTATTTTGCACAAGTTCAATTCTTTTCTGACAGACATATAGACATAGGGAGGATTGACAGAAAAACAAACTTTTGCTGGTCATACATTGTCATACTAGAAATTCACTAGTCCTATATTTGTGAAATTGTAATGAGATATATATTATGCTTGATTTCTGAAGACAACCATGACAACATGTAAATACAAAAAAGAATAAATAAAAATATGTTACAGATATCCTGCCGAAATGATATAGGGTCGAAAGGTCAGGTTTTGGTAACAATCTGGAAAATATTGTGTTTTCCAAGTCTGATTTTGGTATAATACGTCTATATTGCTTTATGTTTTATCAGTGCACTAGTAATGTTTGGGCTGATCAGGAAACCCTAAATTATAAATTTTTTTTTTTAAATTGCATCACTTTTTTTTTCAAGTCCTTCAGCTGGTCTTGCTCCCTCAACAAACTAAAATGTCCAGATTACCAGCAATATCAAAATAGCTTCTACTAGTTCGAATTTAAGTCATGTGCAATTTTTAACAGATGACTTTCGTAAGGTGCCCTATTGAGAAAAAAACTGTCATGTCACTTCAAGTTATATTGTTTGGTACATGTAATAAGTCAGGTAAGTAAACGACATGAACCTGATGTTCAATGGTTGTCATTTTTTGATGTGGTTCATAAGTGTTTCTTGTTTCTCCTTATTTATATAGATTAGACCGTTGGTTTTCCTGTTAGAACGGTTTTACACTAGTCATTATTTGGGGCCCTTTATAGCTTGCTGTTGAAGGCTGTACTTTGACCTATTATGGTTTTACTTTTACAAATTGTGACTTGGATGGAGAGTTGTCTCATTTCTTATCTTATTTTTTCACTGGACTAAACATATACTTGTACATGAGTCCTATCATGCCTATGATAATATTAAAAACAGGTATACGATAAATACAAAGAAGATGTAGGGTATAGATCAATGCAACAGTAACCTCATTATACTATATAATCACATTATCTGCATCGGACAGAAATTGACCTTGAGCAAGTGTATGTATACATGTACATTTTGGTTGAATTTGGAACATTCAGATACGAAATAAAAGATTTTGACCCAGATCACATGTTCACTGACAATGTATTACACTGCAAATTCTCTGTTGTGTACATGTATTTATGTACATAAAATTGATAATGGAAATGGGGAATGTGTCAAAGAGACAACAACCCGACCATAGAGCAGACAACAGCCGAAAGCCACCAATGGGTCTTCAATGTAGCGAGAAACTCCCGCACCCAAAGGCATGTAGGCTTTAAAAGTCTTAGAGGGAATAGAAATAAGTACATCAACCTTTTCATAAAACTTTATTTTGATTTTCTTTTTTTGATTTTTCACAGATTGTCTGGTAGTTCCGCATCGCTGTGTACAGATATTGTATAGAAAGGATGTCGTAAGTATAATACAGTGAAACCTGTCTAAAGCCAACTTCTTAGCGAATTACAATTTAGCATGGTTTTGGTAGATGTTCCGTTTATTCAGGTTCATTAAGCATTAGATGACTGGACTTATATTTGGTTTAGATAGTTTTCTGTAAAAGCAAGATCGCTTTGGACAGGTTTCACTGTAGTTACATTTAAGCTTTCAATTATTGATAGAAATAATGAACCAAAAACATGAAAGTTAGGTCTCTTCATTTTTCTGTAGCTTGAAAATCGTTTGAGTCATTATGAATGGACTGTGCTTGACTTCTGAAGACTTTCACAATTACAATTTCTAGAGCATAAATTTTGCAACCGATTTAAAAATTATGCAGACAGAAGTTTTGATTTGTTTTAGAGAATTTGTTCATTTTGAAATTTCAAAAGATTTGTTTGTTTGAGCTGGAATAAGGAAATTGAGGAAAAGGAATTAAGTAAATGAATACAGTACTTTGGCAGTTTTGTAACAAGGAAAATTTGAAACAAGATGTACATGCGTAATAACAATGAATAAGATAATAAAATATATTATATTATAAAAAGAAAAAGTTTTGACTTTTGATACAGTTATTTTCATCATTTATTAAATATTGAGTACTGAACATGTTGAACAGTTTTAAATAATAAAAATTAATAAGCTTTTATTTAAAATCTTTCCATGATTATAAACATGATAAGATAAGCAAAAACTTGTCAGATATTTAATTTTGACTCATGCTACATACATAACAGAACAGGAGTTCAAAGATATTGGCAGTTTCAACTTATATTATTAGAGGTTTAGAAAGATGTATTGCATGACCTTTTTCCTGTGCATCTGCCATGTCTACTTTGTCTTTACTGGTAGGCAGATTTTTAAAACAATTTGAAGGATTTTAACAGACTTCCACTTAAAATTTTAAAAAAAAACATGCTTTAATAAAAAAGAATTCTGTCTGGCATGTCTAATTTCACTCTGAATTTTGTCAAAAAACATCATGAAAACTATTTTAAATCTTTCTTCAGTCGGCATGGTTACAGTGGATCCAACTATGATAAATATGTGGAACGAACAGATACATCCACAGTTCACAAGATCAAGGAAACGTTTTGGACAACCAAACAAGCAGTAATACAGAAACTAGGCAAGAAAGAAGATGAACATGTGGTCGCATCAGATGCTCAACTTGATGCTAAGCTAGAGGTATGATATGGGAATATTACTGAATTGATTTATTAGATGCTCAACTTGATGCTAAGCTAGAGGTATGATATGGGAATATTACTGAATTGATTTATTAGATGCTAGAGTTATGATATGGGAATAGTACTGAATTGATTTATCAGATGCTCAACTTGATGCTAAGCTAGAGGTATGATATGGGAATATTACTGAATTGATTTATCAGATGCTCAACTTGATGCTAAGCTAGAGGTATGATATGGGAATAGTACTGAATTGATTTATCAGATGCTCAACTTGATGCTAAGCTAGAGGTATGATATGGGAATAGTACTGAATTGATTTATCAGATGATCAACTTGATGCTAAGCTAGAGGTATGATATGGGAATAGTACTGAAATGATTTATCAGATGCTCAACTTGATGCTAAGCTAGAGGTATGATATGGGAATAGTACTGAATTGATTTATCAGATGCTCAACTTGATGCTAAGCTAGAGGTATGGTATGGGAATATTACTGAATTGATTTATCAGATGCTCAACTTGATGCTAAGCTAGAGGTATGGTATGGGAATATTACTGAATTGATTTATCAAATGCTCAACTTGATGCTAAGCTAGAGGTATGGTATGGGAATATTACTGAATTGATTTATCAGATGCTCAACTTGATGCTAAGCTAGAGGTATGATATGGGAATATTACTGAATTGATTTATCAGATGCTCAACTTGATGCTAAGCTAGAGGTATGATATGGGAATATTACTGAATTGATTTATCAGATGCTCAACTTGATGCTAAGCTAGAGGTATGATATGGGAATATTACTGAATTGATTTATCAGATGCTCAACTTGATGCAAAGCTAGAGGTATGATATGGGAATATTACTGAATTGATTTATCAGATGCTCAACTTGATGTTAAGCTAGAGGTATGGTATGGGAATATTACTGAATTGATTTTACCCGACTTGGCAGGGCTTTAGCTGCTCCAACCATGGTAACCGAGAAATATTATGAAATCATTCTGTGAATCACTGCTGACAATTGTCTATTCATGCTTTGTATAAAAATAGGGAGATGTGTTATAATTGCCAATAAGACAACTATCCAACAAAGTTCAAATGATGTCGATATAAGCAATTATAAGTAACTGTAGGGTTTCAACAATGAGAAAACCCATACTGTATAGTCAGCTATAAAAGGTCTGACATGAAAAATGTGAAACAACTCAAGTGAGAAAACTGCCTAATTTATAATACAATTTACGAAAAAAACAAAAAAGACAGACATGAACCAACAACAACCACTGAACTAAAGGCTCCTGACTTAGGACAGGCACATTCAGAATGTGGAGGGGTTAAACATGTTTGTGAGGACTTAACCCTCCTCTAACCTGGGACATGTTTGTGAGGGCTTAACCCTCCTCTAACCTGGGACAGTGGTGTAACATCACATCATTAGAACAAACTGTAAAAATCAGTTGGAAATGGTTTAATTCAATCGATCGGTACGAAGCACAAAAAGACAACTAACATAAAATATGTTTTGAAAGGAGTATTTGGTTAGATGACTAGTAGAATAACAGTAAAGATAATTTTGTTAAAGTGTATAATATGAAGTTTGTGAAAAGCAAATTAACAAAATCTAATGCAAGGTCATGCTAAATATTTTACATACAAATAAGCAATGTTGTTGTGTTATTAAATAAATAGATTATATCTCTAAGGTGTTCTGAGCTATATTGATGTATGCAATTATATCGCTTAAGGTATTCAGAGCTATACAGAGATCTTCAATGGAACTATTGAAAGTGATAGAAAAATACCAGGATCGTTTATGTCGTAAGTAGGAACTATTGAAAGTAATAGAAAATGTCAGGATCGTTTACATCTTACGAAAACCAGTCTGTTTCAGATACATGTATTAAATAATGTGGGAACTGTTGTGTAATCTTGAATTTATATCATTCAGTGATAGAACAACTAATTTCAGAACAAAGATAGTAATGTTCGATGAAGTGATTTGATCACAGAAAGTGCTGCATACAAAAATATTAGAATGTGAGTGAGTACTAACTAAACACCCATTGAATGTTTGAAGAAATTCACAAAAATTAATAAAATTCTATTCTTAACATAAGGGCTATTCCTGAAAAAAATGTATGGAGGGGGGAGGGTTGGAAGGCACTTTAATTATTATTGTATGGGTGGGGGAAGGTCATGAAGTTTAAATTGTGTGGTTATGTATGCAAAGTAAAATGCAATTGTATGGGTGATCGCCATAAAAAAAGTGCCTTCCATTCTGCAAACCCCATATTGTTTTTTTCTGAAAAAGCCCTGAAAAAAAACAGTAGGATTCTAGTTCTATCCATAAAAAGATTGCAATGAAAATATTTAAAAGTATATTCAGAAAATAAAAACCGTAAATTTGTATGAACATTTTCTTTTATAGGATTGTCACAAGAAGAAAGTAGCACAGGAAGATTCCTTAAATCACAGAGTAACATTGACAAAACCAGAGCTGGTAAAATGATGGCTGCTGTAGGCAAATCACAGAGCTTCTCAGCTCAGCAAAGGTAGGCAAATCACAGAGCTTTTTAGCTCAGCAAAGGTAGGCAAATCACAGAGCTTTTTAGCTCATCAAATGTAGGCAAATCAAAGGTAGGCAAAGCATAGAGTTTCTCAGCTCTGTCTCAGCAAAGGTAGGCAAATCATAGAGCTTTTTATCTCGATCAGCAAATGGAGGCAAGTCACAGAACTTTTAAGCTCAGCAGAAGTACATGAATCACAGAGCCTCTCAGCTTAATAAAATGGAATTCATATTTTTTTTGGTCATTAAATATCAGGAGTGGGGGCTATTTCATGCCCTAAGTACTGAACTAGGATATTGAATTTTTTTAATTCTCAGAAAACCCAGCTGAATACTGCATTTTATATAGTTAGTATAGATGTAAAAAAAAATCTTGAAAGATTTGATTGTAGAATTAAACAACAAACAATTGCATATTCATCAACTCTGTATTTGTAAAATGAGACAAAGAGAAATCAGAATAACATATAGACCGTAAGAAACTGAGAAAATTGTTTAATCTCAAAAGTTGTTTCAAGCTTCAATAACATGAAGATATCCAAAAATTAAACAAAAAATTTATAAAAAAAAGTAATCATTGAAAATTCAAATTTTTCTTGAAAATTCTTTGTAAGTTATGAATCAATTACCATGATTACTTATATAACATATACACATCACCTATAGCAATGTCAGATATACACAACACCTATAGCAATGTCAGATATACACAACACCTATAGCAATGTCAGATATACACAACACCTATAGCAATGTCAGATATACACAACACCTATAGCAATGTCAGATATACACAACACCTATAGCAATGTCAGACCTTTTATGTTCTTGCCTGTTGGCTTTTAGCTTGAAGAAGTGGTGTTATATGGTTCTTCAAATTCTATTAAAAATACCTGTAAAAATTTGCATTTCTTTCTGTGTTGAACCATTAATATACATACATGTAAGTGACCATTTTGAAATGAAAGTAAAATGTTAAAGAAAATATGCAATTTTAAAGCTTATAAAAATTGGTTTATGTGGGTGAAATATATACTTCATACCTGACAACTTTTCAAAATCTCCATGGGGTATGTATGTGCTTAAATACCCTTATAATTAATTTGAATGCCTGTTTTGAGGTGTTTATTTTATACCATAAAGAATTTCAAAATTCAGGTCAACACATCTAAATCATGAAAGTTGGCAGGTTTGATACTTTATGCATTCAGATTTCATGAACTGCAAAATAGTTATAAAAGTCAGGCCACACTTAAAAATATTTTGGTTTGGCCAAACCTTACCCAAAGGTAGAGACAGTGGGTAGGTAGGTAGGCAGTTTCTTTTTTTTTTTGGACAAAGAGAAATTGAAGTGTCAGATGTTTATAGTCTTCATGCTTATCTGATTAAAAAAAAATTTCACATCAGGACAATAAAAGATTTTGAGTAGGCAGCAATTTTATGGGTAGGTAGGGTTAAAGGAAACAAACATATTCTTTTTTATGGCCTCATATGTATTTTAATAGGTTAGCTATGAGAGTTCCACTAGTAAGACTTTACCAGGAAGTAGAAACATTTAGATACCGAGCCATATCAGACACATTAATGACTATAAATAGAATGGAAGGAGCCAGGACAGAGTACAGAGGTGCCCTCTTGTGGATGAAAGATGTATCAGAACAGTTGGATCCAGATACTTACAAACAGTTAGAAAAATTTAGAAAAGTAAGAAAAAATATTTAAGGATGTTAGCTTATCTTGTTTTTATACGCCCGTCAAATTTTTGACGGGACGTATTATGTTATACAAATGTCCGGCGTCCGTCTGTCTGTCTGTCCGTCTGTCTGTCCGGCGTAAACATGTTGCACCGTAACTTGAGAATGACTTATCCAAATTTCATGAAACTTAACATAGTTGTTTCTTATGATGGTCAAACGATCTGTATACTTTTTGGTGAAAATAAGATTAAAACTTTTTGAGTTACGGGACTTATTTATTAGTAACTAAAACAGGTGTGTGTTTTTTTTCACATATCACGCCGTATCTCAAAAACAATTTATGATTATTGCTTAAAACTTTACACACTTCTTAGTTATATTAATCTTAAGATCTGTATACTTTTTGGTGATGATTCAAAATTTTATTTTAGAGATATTGAGTATTTTGTTAAAAAAGGGGGAGGGGTTTTTCACATGTCGCGCCGTATCTCAAAAACAGTTTATGATTATTGCTTTAAACTTTACACACTTCTTAGTTATATTAACCTTAAGATCTGTATACTTTTTGGTGATGATTCAAAATTTTATTTTTGAGTTATTGAGTATTTTGTAAAAAAAGGGGAGGGGTTTTTCACATGTTGCGCCGTATCTCGAAAACAATTTATGATTATTGCTTCAAATTTTACACACTTCTTAGTTATATTAATCTAAAGATCTGTATACTTTTTGGTTTTGATTCAAAATTTTATTTTTGAGATATTGATTTTTTTTTTTTTTAAAAGGGGGGTTTTCACATGTCGCGCCGTATCTCAAAAACGATTTATGGTTATTGCTTAAAATTTTACACACTTTTTAGTTATATTAATCTAATGATCTGTATACTTTTTGGTTTTGATTCAAAATTTTATTTTAGAGATATTGAGTTTTTTGTAAAAAAAAAAGGGGGTTTTCGCATGTCACGGCGTATGTCAGAAACTATGCATAAAAATTCACACACAAGACGACGGGCGTATCATGCGCTCATGGCGCAGCTGTTTATTGACTTTTTGTCAGATTTTCAGAATCCTCTGGTTTTATCCATGTAATGCAATAAAAAAGTGCCTTCCTACCCTTACTTCTTATAAAATCCTTGTTATCTCTCATAGTTTTTGAAAGAAAAAAAATGCTAATGTTAAATGAATGAAAAATCTAGAGATAATCATTTCTTGCCAAATATTCAATAACTTATATGTAAAAAAACAAGGACATGAACATATCATTTTTTATTGTGGAGCCTGCGACTTTTGTCGCAGAAAGCTCGACATAGGGATAGTGATACGGCGGCGGTGGCGTTAGCTAACTTCTTAAAAGCTTTATATTTTAGAAGCTAGAAGACCTGGATGCTTCATACTTTGTATATAGATGCCTTATGTTACGAAGTTTCTGTCTGTTATATGTCCATTGTCCTTGACCTCATTTTCATGGTTCAGTGACTACTTGAAAAAAAAGTCTACATTTTTTGTAATGTTAATTTCTTTCTTATTATGAGTAATAGGATAACTATATTTAGTATGTGCGTACCTTGCAAGGTCCTCATGCCCGTCAGACAATTTTCATTTGACCTCGACCTCATTTCATGGATCAGTGAACAAGGTTAAGTTTTCGTGGTCAAGTCCATATATCAGATACTATAAGCAGTAGGGCTACTATATTTGGTATATGGAATGATTGTAAGGTGTACATGTCCAACTGGTAGGTGTCATCTGACCTTGACCTCATTTTCATGGTTCAGTGGTCAAAGTTAAGTTTTTGAGTTTTTGTCTTTTTTTCTAATACTATAGGTCAACTATATTTGGTGTATGGAAATATTTTATGATGGACATGTCAGTCTCGCAGGTTTTATTTGACCTTGACCTCATTTCCACGGTTCATTTCTCAGTTTTTGTGTTTTGGTCTGTTTTTCTTCAACTATAAGCAATAGATCAACTATATTTGTTGTATGGAAGGATTGTAAGGTGTATATGTCTGTCTGGCAGGTATCATCTGACCTTGACCTCATTTTCATGGTTCATTGGTCAATATTTAGTTTTCTTGGTTAAGATTGTTTCTTAGAAACTATAAGCAATAGGTCAACTATGTTTGGTTTATTGAATGATTGTAAGGTGTACATGTATTTCTCGTTTGGTTTATCTGACCTTGACCTCATTTTCTTGGATCATGTTAAGTTTATGTGTTACTTGTAGTAAAGCTTTATATTTAGGACTATCAACATAAAATCAATGGTTAGTAAAGAAGGCGAGACATTTCAGTGTGTGCACTCTTGTGCTTTTTAAGTTCCATTAATTATATACTATCAATTTTAACAGTCTTTTAAAATGCTTGTTATTTTGAAACAGAGTAGTGAACATCCATAACAATTTTATTTGAGTATAAATAAATAAAACTTTGATTGCTTGATGAAACTTGAAATTAATTAGGAATATTGCCTTCCGTAACTTAAAGATGTAACATTTTTTTTAAATGGTTACAGAAAGGTGACAAAAAAATCTTTTTTACCAGGTTTGTTCTGAATTTGAAAAACTAATATATAGTTCATGGTTAACATAACAAATAAGCAAACTTTTATGCACAAAGTACGCATTCTAATGTTTAGTTGTTAATGTTATGTTCAGGTTAATGAAACATGTATCACCATAAATAACCATGTAAATATTAAATGTTTGATTTGATTGTTGATGGTCAACACTACTGTAAATTACAAGTTCACATTTTAGAAATTACAGTTAAGTTATCTCCCTTTGCCCACCAGTAGGAAACTCAACTTTTATATTGTTTTCAATTTTTCCTGCAGATTTTATTTTGTATACCCGTAATTATCATCTCTTCCATACATTTGTACATCAGTTTGTCACATAGAAACTGAAAATTATCGCTTCTTATTTATAAAACTCAATCATAGACTGTAAAATGGGAAATTTTCTTAATGGTTTTTGTCGAGCCTGCGACTTTTGTCGTAGAAAGCTCGACATAGGGATAGCGATCCGGCGGCGGCGGCGGCGGCGGCGTTAGCTAACTTCTTAAAAGCTTTATATTTTAGAAGATGGAAGACCTGGATGCTTCATACTTTGTATATGGATGCCTCATGTTACGAAGTTTCAGTCAGTCACATGTCCAATGTCCTTGACCTCATTTTCATGGTTCAGTGACTACTTGAAAAAAAAGTTCAGATTTTTTGTAATGTTAAATTCTCTCTTATTATAAGTAATAGGATAACTATATTTGGTATGTGCGTACCTTGCAAGGTCCTCATGCCCGTCAGACAGTTTTCACTTGACCTCGACCTCATTTCATGGATCAGTGAACAAGGTTAAGTTTTCGTGGTCAAGTCCATATCTCAGATACTATAAGCAATAGGTCTAGTATATTCGGTGTATGGAAGGACTGTAAGGTGTACATGTCCAACTGGCAGGTGTCATCTGACCTTGACCTCATTTTCATGGTTCAGTGGTTATAGTTAAGTTTTTGTGTTTTGGTCTGTTTTTCTTATACTGTATGCAATAGGTCTACTATATTTGGTGTATGGAATGATTGTAAGGTGTACATGTCTAGCTGGCAGGTGTCATCAGACTTTGACCTCATTTTCATGGTTCAGTGGTCAAAGTTAAGTTTTTGAGTTTTGGTCTTTTTTTCTAATACTGCATGCAATAGGTCAGCTATATTTGGTGTATGGAATGATTGTAAGGTGTACATGTCTAGCTGGCAGGTGTCATCTTACCTTGACCTCATTTTCATGGTTCAGTGGTCAAAGTTAAGTTTTTGAGTTTTGGTCTTTTTTTCTAATACTATATGCAATAGTTCAACTATATTTGGTGTATGGAAATATTTTATGATCTATATGTCAGTCACGCAGGTTTTATTTGACCTTGACCTCATTTTCAAGGTTCATTGCTCAGTGTTAAGTTTTTGTGTTTTCGTCTGTTTTTCTTAAACTATAAGCAATAGGTCAACTATATTTGTTGTATGGAAGAATTGTTAGCTGTACATGCCTGCCTAGCATGGTTCATCTGACCTTGACCTCATTTTCATGGTTCATTGGTCAATGTTTAGTTTACTTGGTTAATGTTAAGTTTATGTGACAGTTGTAATAAAGCTTTATATTTAGGACTATCAACATAATATCAATGATTAGTAAAGAAGGCGAGACATTTCAGCGCGTGCACTCTTGTTAGTGTTAATTTCATGATTGATACAATTTTGCAAGAATATCCCCATGCATACTTTTTATCTTTAATGAAATTCAGAAACAATGTGAAAAAAGTTTAAAATTAAACCTTGTGAAAAAATGCATTTCAATTGTTCGTAGTCCTGATAATTACAATTTATTTCAGGTTCAAGCACAAGTGCGGAAAACAAAAGCGAAATTTGATAAATTAAAACTAGATGTGATGCAAAAAGTAGACTTATTAGCTGCTAGTAGATGTAATATGTTCTCACATGTCTTAGCCAATTATCAATCAACGTTATTACATTTCTGGGAGAAAACGTCAAGAACCATGACAGCAGTCGCAGAAAGCTTTAAAGGATACCAGTACTATGAATTTAATATTATAAAGGTCAGTTTACTATGAATTTGATATTATATGGTTTGTTTACTATGAATTTGATATTAAAAAGGTCGGTTTACTATGAATATTAGAAAGACCAGTTTATTTTCATTGAATAGGTGATTGCATTGAAACTATGATCAACTCTCAAATAACCACATCTAAAAAGATTGATTGTCCCACATCTAGATTTGAAAATATATCTCTGGAAAAGAAATTATATTGTCACATGCCACAAGGTGTATTGGAAAGAAGACATTTGCATTTCAGAACTCGTAAAATATTTGAAATTCAATGCATTGATCCCAGATGCCACTAATAAAATGGTTCAAATTAATTATATTTAAAAAGATTTAGCGACTAATAGACTGTATTGCTATTTATTCCAAATATTTTACGGATTCTGAAAGGCAAATATGTCTTCTTTGCAATACACCTTATGGATATTCATTCCAATCGGGATAAGTTCTGAAATTACACAAGCTAGCTGGGTCCCTGTTTTCACAATAAATATTGTAAATAAAACTAGTTAGATTATAACCTTATAATCCTATGTATTTCAGGATTTAGCAGAACCAAGTAGAAAATTAGCAGAAGAGACGGGGAAAGATAAAGAAGCAGATATAGATGATGACTTTGATCCTAGCAAGTTAGTATTGAAATGATTGAATGCTTTTATATATCTATGTCTAGTCTGTGCTGTTGTGAGAAATATCAAAATATCTTCTAAAGGGTATACGATACAGTAGCAAGGGGAGATAATTAACTATCTAAAAATAACATGTTTGTTCTCACAACATTGATAATAATTGGCATAAAAAATTTGTGGAAAATTCATTCAGGTTATCGAATATGTTACTGTGGATTTGTTTATTTTTGTGGATTCCAATTTTCATTGATTAAAGAAAAATTGTATTTTCATGGGTATTTGATTTCATGGTTTTGCAAAAGTCTGCATACAAGCCTTTGAAACTTTGTATTTTGTTGAACATTTAATTTCACCTATAGGAACGAAATCCACTAAAATTGGTATCACATGAATAATGGTGATAGTGAATCTATAGTACTTTTTGTCAACATTTCAAGAAAAAATAAATATAAGATCTCTTCTTCTGTATCCTATGCCCTATATGAATTATGTCTATGGTGAAAGTGAAAGTAAACTGTATCTATTTATAGAATAGTGGTTCATTTCCTGCTTTTAATTGCATGCCTTATGTATGTGCACTGTGTATGTTGCAATGCAATCAATATTTATCACTTGTTTCACATAGATTGTTGTATAAAGGGACGATCTGCTTTGTTGCATAAGAAATCCATACTTATTAATTATACCCCTGCTTTAAAAAGGGGGGTATACTGTTTTACCTCTGTATGTCCTTCCGTCAGTTCATCCATCCATCCATCCATCCGTCAGTCCATCCGTCCCATGAATATTTTCGTTGCATTTTTCTCAGGAACTACTTGACAAGGATTTCTGAAATTTGGTTTCAGGGTTTATATAAATAAGTTACACCGTGTGATGCGTTTTCAGATTCATCACTCAACAACTTCCTGTTTACCAAAATATTTCGGCGGGGGTATCATCAGTGAGCAGTAGCTCACAGTTTTACTTGTTTTTCCTATAAAAATACTTGCCCAATGTTTTTTTGCTTGATGAATCCTGTAGTTTTGGATGCTTTGATTAGACCTAGTGTATAAATTTTATTTTCCATGTTTAATGTTGTATTTTTGCATGCTTAATTAAACCTAGTGTATACATGTTTGTTTTTTGCTTGATGAATCCTGTAGTTTTGAATGCTTTAATCAAGTCTAAGTGTACAAAGCTATTTTCCATAATGAATCTTGTAATTTTGCATGCTTATTTAAACTTAGTGTAAACATGTTTTTTTTTGCTTGATGAATCCTGTAGTTTTGGATGCATCAATTAGAATAAGTGAATAAAAGTCATTTTGCATGATGAATCCTGTAGTTTTGGAAGCTTGAATTAGAATAAGTATATAAATGTCATTTTGCATGATGAATCCTGTAGTTTTGGAAGCTTGAATTAGAATAAGTATATAAATGTTATTTTGCATGATGAATCCTGTATTTTTGCATGATTTGATTAGACCAAGTGTAAAATTGTCTTTTACCTTATGAATCCCATAGTTTTGCATGTTTTGATTGTTTATTCTGCTCGTGCTAGTCTAACTGTGTGTATAAATGTTGTGTTTGTGTTGTCACTTTCAGTTATGATTACATCAAAGAAAAATGTCAAAAACAAAGAGAAGAATTTGATCAAGAATTGTCCAGTAGATTAGAGGGGCATATTGATGACAATGATGATAAAAATTTGTTAGAAAATAATGGAGATATTTCAGAAAATATTAGTCATGACAGGTAAATCTTTATTTTGAATGATTGGAGATAGGCCAGTGTGTAAAAAAAAATACTGTAAATTCAGAAATTATTAGTGCATTTATTATTGTGATTTTTGAAAAATCAACAAAAATGCAAGATTAATTATTACGATTTCATGAAAATCTTCATACAGATATATGATTCAGATATCAGAACGCCAGTTCTTATTATTGCGATATTCACCAAGTTGCATCATTTGTACAACTAAAAACCTCTCAATAATTTCTGAATTTAAAGTATTTTGAATCATTTGGAGGTAGGCCAGGAAGTCCCCAAAATATAGTGAGAGAAAGTAGATACTTGTGGAAATTTATAATTAAAGCAAAAGTTACAAGGCTCATTTAGCACAGATTCTGGCCACATATTTTCTTTAAAGGCTTTTTGTGATAACAAAAAACCTTAGGGAAATTTGCATTGGAGTGGTTTATTTAAATATTAAGTTTGGCAGTAGTTTTAGTTTAGTTTAAAGGTTGGCACATTGTCCAGTTGGCACTTCAAAGAAGCCATGCAATGTCAAATCACTATATATATGATTTTTTTCAAACAGATTTCGTTTAACAAACAGAACCATACTCTCCAAAATTAAATTTCCTCAAAAAATTTTACTTTAAGAATTTTCAAAAGAATTTATTGCTTTGAAATAGGGTTTGAAATTCGGCAATTTGGTAGATGTCAAAATGAAAGCATTGTAAACAAAGCACCATTTAGTTAAAAATGAAAATCAACACATTTTGTTTTCTATCCCTTCAGTAAACATTCCAAATATAAAATAGGAAAATAAACTGAAATAGATGTCAATTTTTACCAGGTCTTTGAGACATGGGAGATAACTTTTTTCTCTCTATACAATATAGCAAGAGTTCTCTCCCATTGAGTTGCAAAACCTTTGATAATGCATTGAAAACTTTGGAGGTTACAAATATTTAGAAAAAAGTCTTGGAAATTTGAATATATAAAATAACATTTGAAATCAAACGTAAACAATGTTTTTTTTCCTAGGTTGATAGAATTTGAAGATTACCATGACGATGAAGGTAAAGACTCCTTACAGACTAATGGTAGCTTGCAGAATTTATATGAAGGAGATGGACATACTATAAATGAAGGTATGATTGGTCTGACTAGCACTTTACAAGCATAGATCCTAAAAAGAAAAAAAATTGTCAGTGGTTGTCTTTAAATATATCTTAATGTTTTACTCTGCAAGGATTTATAACGTTGATGGCATATACTTTGGATTCATTATTATTCGTTGGATACCAATTTTCAAGGATTTTGTGGGTACAGGTGAACCAGGAATTTAAATGCACAAAGTAGTACAAATTTTCTCTAGGCATGTATGCAGACTTTTGTAAAAAGACGAAAATTGGTACCTACAAAAAATAAATGAATCCACAGTGTTTGATAGCCTTTTATAGCTGACTGTGCGGTATGGGCTTTGCTCATTGTTGAAGGCCGTACGGTGACCTATAGTTGTTAATTTCTGTGTCATTTGGTCTCTTGTGGAGAGTTGTCTCATTGGCAATCATACCGCATCTTCTTTTTTATAATTAGTTAAATTTTTTCATTACTATTCTAGATTTTAGACAATTTTGAGCTGTGCATACTTTATAGATTTTAAACAATTTTGAGCTTTACATACTTTATAGAAACTTGTCCATTTTTTATGGCCAATTGTTGACCTCTAGATTTCTATTTGGGGAGGATGTAGTGAAAGTAAGTGTGAAATATCACATGGTACATCATTGATTTTTTTTGGCTTTAATTAAATTTAGAAATTAAATATTATTGATGACAACTGCTTGACATTAAAACACAGTCCTATTTTATGTTTAATCCATATTTTTCAGAGAACAAATCAGAACTTTCAAAAGATACCAAAAAGTCAGATACTTCTAGTCCTTTTATTGAATTTGAGGAAGACAAACCTGAGGAAGATTTCAGCGGCCAAATCATATCAACGTCGGAAAAGACGAAGTCAACTAAAGTTAATAAAAAAGGTAAGTAGACTCTCTTATAATTTGTTTAAGGGTTGGTTGACTTTCATAATATCTGCTTAGAAAGGCTATGAATTCAATGGAAGTGACTGCATAGAAAGTTCAGTTGGTATGAATTTTAAAAATGTTTCCAGTAAGCATGCAGAGAAAATTAATTTCTGTAGTTTAATAGACAAAGGAATTTTACACTACAGTATAATGTACAATTTTACATAAGAGTACAATGTCAAATTGTTTTATATGTATTATTTTGACCTGTCAGAGTCATTGGACTGAGTCTTATACATAGTTATACTGACTTACTGTGAATTCAGAAATAATTGCAATGTTTTTAGTAATAAAAAAAATGGGACAGTATTAAGTTTGCAATAATAAGAACTTCTTTTCATAACTGTATGATTTACCATTACCAAATTTTTTGTATAGCTGACTAGACATTGTAGGTTTTTTTCATTGTTGAAGGCTGTATGGTGACTTATAATTGCTTATATCCAAGACATTTGAACTCTGGTGGATTGTTGTCTCATTGGCAATCATGCCACATCTCCTTATTATAATATTAATTGGCTGATAGTAAAATTGGTTTTACCAAGTTGATCAACTGAGATGAAGTGAAGGAAAGTTAGTCTGCTTCTGGAAATCAAGGGTTTGTTTGACAAGGACCTTGTCACAGGTCATCTATTGACCTTCTTCAAAGTGCAGAGAGTGTGGCACAAGGCAAATGATTTATTAGAATCCTGATTCAAACTGGACATGACTGAGTATTTATACATCCAATGCATAAAAATGGGACCTCTTCAAAATGGGTTTAAATGCTTGAAAAGAGAAGTCCATGGGACCATATTTTTATAGCACTGTCAACCCTTTGGGGTCATTAAACCATGAAAATTGTAACCGGAAATAACTATAAATTTGAAACCAAACACAAATATTTTGAAATCAATTGTGGAGAGAGGATAAGACAACCATTGTTTATAAATATTATATTGAATGAAACCTCTTGACGTTTACCTCTTAAATACAAGGGAGAAAACTCTTAAATATTCTTCGGCTACAAGTTGATTTAGAAAGTCATTTTGCTTCGATTTGTTGGCTACTGATATATACACTGAAGTGATACCTTGATAAAGAAATTTAATTGCACTGGTACATGAAAGAAAGAAAGTGTCAAATTGTTTAAACTATATTCTGGATGCCGTTTTCACTTAGTTCTTTAACTTCAAATATATCGGAAGACTCGAACTTTGCCTAGAGCTTCTGTGACTAGAAAATGTCCATTTTTAGTGATAGCTAATCCCATAGGATGCCAGAGTCCATCACTTTTAGTCAGAAGATATTTACAGAACGAACCATCAGGAAGAAGAACGTGGATACGATGGTTTTGGTTATCGGCCACAAAAATATAACCATAATCATCACAACAGATTCCGTAGGGTTGGAGTATTTGGTCTTGTTTTGTGCCGTAGCTTCCATATTTTGCAAGATATTTTCCGCAGGGACTAAAGATTTTGATGTTTGGTGCTGCTGTGTCTGTTACCAGGATGTTATCGTTATTGGTTACGGCAACACAGTATGGATCTACCAAAACTTTCGAACCTTTTTCATCTACTGCTTCAATTTTCTGTAAAAGTTTGCCTGTTTTTGGATCGTGCACTGTTAATTGCAGTGTGCCACAGTCTACAACTACGATATGACCTTTACTATTGGTAGTTATGCCCCTTGGATGCTTGAAATGACCAGAAATAGATGAAAGATATTGACCAGCCACATCAAAAATCTTAACTTCGTTCGTTTCATAGTCCGTCACGGCAATGTTTCCGTTTTTCAGCACAGTTGCATCGAAAGGTGATCCTAACTTGTCGTCTGGCTTTCCAACGAATTCTAAAGTGAGATTACCATTCTTGTCAAAGACTTTGACTTTTTTGTTGTCCCTGTCTACGGTGACCACCTCATCACTCTGTGTGATAGAGACTCCAGTGGGCCAGACATCTTTGAAGTCATTACTTCCTTCAGCGTCAAATGTTTTCACAACCTCTGGTGAATTCTTCAGTGGCGGTAACATAGTGGTCACAGTCAGCTGACCGTTTTCAAGAGCAGACGCAGCCTCTTTTTGACTAACAGGAACATGCTCCAGTAGAAGTTTTCCAAAGAGGAGTTTAATATTTTGTTCCATGTTTGTTCCTGTGGAGAACCCCATTTTTAGTTTCTGAGTTATTCCATCAATTTGCATATTAGCAAGTTGTGTAAGACGGAAGGTGATTTGCCGATGTAAAGTGAGGATTTCGTCACTACGTCCATGATGAAGTAGATATTGAAGATATGTTGCATTATCCTGCAGCGATTTTCCAGCAATTTCAAGGTTATTGCTTTTTGTTTCAAGGTCAGACATTTCAGCTTCACATTTTTGAGAAATATTTGCAAGCATTTCAGATTTATAATTGTCAATAATTTGATGTAATGTCTTTGCTTGTGTTTCTAAATTTTCTGTGAGTTTTTGTTTGCTCTCTTTCAAAGAAATCTCGTAAGATTTTAAATATTTCACATAGTCAGCAATACTGGGAATTCGACCTTGGATGCCCTCTAATAATCCGTTAATGTGTCTTTGGTAGCGAGGTAAGGCGTCGTCAAATTTGATACTCTTATGACTATCATGCTCCTCATTTTTACATTGAGGACAAATTAAAATTTCACAGATTTCACAAAAAAAGTCCATTTGATCACCATGTTTGGTACATGGTCGTGCTTGATGTGAACGCATGTCATGATCATAGAGGCCATTTTGAATTTGTTTGAACGGTATGACACTGTGGTTACGGGTTATTTTTGTTCGACGATGGGCATCGGAACAATTGCTACACATATCGTCATTACAGTCTAAACATAGATATTCAGCCGATGTCTTTTTCCCGTCAAATTTGCAGTAATCACATGCTCGTTCTTTTGGATGTTTGTATTCATGGATATTCAGTAAATTAGACAAGAATGGATTTTCAGGAAATGCAGTGGCTCCCTCTTCTGGAATTCCTATAAAAGACTGACATAGAGGGCACTGTAATCTGTCAACAGAATTGTCTTGATTTGTTGTAACTGGTACCTCATGTGATATATCGTCAATGCAGGTCTTACAGAACGTATGTAGACAAGGGAGAATCTTGGGGTCCTGATAAATCTTGTTACATTTGGAACACTTCAGGAATTTTGATTCGATTAGTTCAGCAAGGGTTATCTCCTCCTTTCCATTCATAATTGTTGCTGTAGTCATCCCTGAAAAAAAGAAATAGATATTAAAATGATGTATTGAAATTACTCTCATGTTATGTGATATATGTGATTATGTGATTTTAAATTTTTGCTAATCGACCTAAAATTGTAAAAAATGGATTGATCAAAAACATTAATTACTTACTTACTATTAATAAAAGAAAATTTACCTTAAAAGATGGAATAATATCTGTATTAATTTTACAGCAGTATAATTTCCTAATGTTAGTACATTCACAGCAGTGTGAAGAATTCTAAATTTAAATACTTGTTTACTTAAATAACCAATTTTCCAGACTATTTCACATGTATATGTAATTTAAAAATGAAACACATCACTTCAGTAGCCAGGGACAACAAACTTTCTATAAAAAATTCTGTATTAAATATTGATAAAGCTGATTAAATTGATTAATCACTTAAAACATATTTGATCGAGATAATCACTTGATTGATGACAGGAAAAAGGAAAATTACCTATTGATTTTCATTTAACTGATTACTGAAGTGAGAGAAGTTCAATGGAGCAATTAGTGTAAAAAGGTGACATTGATTATGGACTTTAATTTAAGGTTTTAACTTATAATCAATCAAATTTATTGAAAACAAATTTCATTTCAACACTTTAATTGAATTTTAGAAATATTGATAGAAGTTTATAAAGTTAGTATTTTAATAGAAAATACTAAAGTACTGAGGTAAAGTATATTTGCTTAACCCATATGATTTTAATTTGCAAATAAAATTGATATTATATTTTATCAATATGACTTAAATTAAAATACACTTTAAAACTTGCTGGAATTGATTTCTTGGGGTGTGATAATGTTTTAAGTCAACATTGGATGCAACAGATATTTAGTTATAGAGGTTTATTCACAGCTTACCTTATATAGTTAATGTGATTCCCTTGTTTTTATGCCCTACCTACGATAGTAGAGGTATGTTTTTCGGTCTGTGAGTCCGTCATTCATCCGTTAGTACGTCCGTCTGTCGCGCTTCAGGTTAAAGTTTTTGGTCAATGTAGTTTTTGATGAAGTTGACGTCCAATCAACTTGAAACTTAGTACACATGTTCCCTATGATATGATCTTTCTAATTTTAATGCCAAATTAGAGTTTTCACGGTCCACTGAACATAGAAAATGATAGTGCGAGTGGGGCATCTGTGTACTATGGACACATTCTTGTTTTTGTTGTTTTTTTAATCTTGATATGTTTATTCAAAATAGTTTAACAAGATTTGAACATGGGTAAAGTAAACTACTGTGGCCTCTAATTTAGACCCATAAAGTGTCGGCTGTGGTCCATCATTGAAGACTACTGTGACCTCTAATTTAGACCCATAAAGTGTCGGCTGTGGTCCATCATTGAAGACTACTGTGACCTCTAATTTAGACCCATAAAGTGTCGGCTGTGGTCCATCATTGAAGACTACTGTGGCCTCTAATTTAGACCCATAAAGTGTCGGCTGTGGTCCATCATTGAAGACTACTGTGGCCTCTAATTTAGACCCATACAGTGTCGGCTGTGGTCCATCATTGAAGACTACTGTGGCCTCTAATTTAGACCCATAAAGTGTCGGCTCTGGTCCATCATTGAAGACTACTGTGGCCTCTAATTTAGACCCATAAAGTGTCGGCTCTGGTCCATCATTGAAGACTACTGTAGCCTCTAATTTAGACCCATAAAGTGTCGGCTCTGGTCCATCATTGAAGACTACGGTGCAATAACCTGTTAATGT